CTCCAGCGATGTCAGTGGGCCGCACAGGAACAATGTGGCTCATCCAACCAAGCCTACCCCCTCTATCACACACACAAACGCATGCAAACACACACCCGCTGATGGTCACAGCCTTTCATACGCAAAGTAAAATACCTGCTTGTATACCAAAAATTGCCTCCGTGTTCGATGACTTCTCCGAAACAAACACAAAAGCAAGAATCTAGTTTCTTTTGGATTCCTTCAAACATCCACACATCTACACTGCACCCAAACGTTCATTTTCTGCTCTGTTACTTTATTGATCGTGGCCACAATTATCCACTTTTCTGAAGCACTGCATTAAGTGAATTCCCCCTTTGTTGGACAATAAGTACAGAAGGTTGGCTAAGTCAAGCTATTCTTCAGCCTTGGGGGACAGACTACTTCTCCTGCACCCTCATCATTATTAGCAAGCTCAGATAAAAACACACCTCAACAATTAGTCCACCTCTGCTGCGGGAGGCACGTCTAGTAAGGCGGGCTGCTCCAACTGACCCATGCATTGATTACAGCAGCTCACATCACGCCCAAAGTAAAGGCCAAAGATTACATTATCAAACAGTTACACACACTGAAAGGGAGACTTTGAATAAAATAAATCCCTAAATTCAATAAAGTCTTGATCTAAGACAGTTTAAGTGCACAAAAACTCTCAGGTACGAAGCAGAAGCTGCAACCTGAGAGTCTCTGTGCTTATTTATACTTTTTTTTGTTAAAAAAAATACCTGAAGCTATTGTTCTATAATCAACACAACTAAAAACAGTACTAATCATTTCAGTTCTACATTATGCTGTTTATTGTGCTTTCCTTATCTACATCTATTGAGCACGAACCTGCTTTTTAAAGACAGAACGGCCTCATTTTCTCTCATCTATGCGCTAGCAGTCTACACCACCTATAAACCTCTCACACTCAGCAATCCACTCACGATTAATGAAGTGCTTACTTAACCAATTTAAACCCTTAATTCCTATTAATTCAACATAATAGCCACCCTCTCCAACAGGAATTAAAAACACTCCAGCAGAAACCTTCAAATCTCTACAGGCCAGAAAGAGTCAACCCAGCAAAATCCATATTCTTTGATAAATATGTAACAGTATGTATATCACTGTTAAAATGCATAACCCTCATGTAAGACCCCTATCAAGTCTGCTTTACACCTGTATTACATTTCTCCCTCAATCAGCATTTTTTCTGAGACGGCGGCCTCCCACGAGGAGCAGAAACCATTACAAGGCACTGCAGCTCATTTGCAGAAAGATTGGAGATCACGCTGCCTCGAAAAGTATGTGAAACATTTCTGGGAGCAAAATTGATTTATTCCATTTCTGTGTTTGTATGCAGCATCTGTATCAGTGTATTTAATGTAAATCCCCCCAATCTAGCACCGAGTTGCTGTGCAGGTTGCTGCTTATTGTGCAAGTAAGAAGCAGGGTGATCATACAACACACGGACACCTGTTCTGCTGTAAGATAAAGGTGCACGCGGTATGTCTTTACACAGTATATGATTTTGTCTGGGAGTAAATGATAAAAGCACATATGCGATGTAGCAGATTATATCAATCAAACAAAAAGCATTCATTCATCGTTTCCTTTTTCCAATCCACTGATGCTGCTTGTTTAAGCTACAAAGACATTACGCTATTCCTTAGCGAGATAAAAACGCATAAACAAATAAATAAATATTTCTGAGTATTTCAATTTTGACTTAGGAAAAACAGATCAAGCAGAGCCTGTGGCTAGAGGAGCCTGACTGCATGCTGGTGGGGGGTAAAAGACAGCCTGGGGGGGTGTGGAGGGCGTCTGTTTTTTAATGAGCTGAAACTTTAAATACTGCATAATATATAATACTCCTAAAAATGGATAGTTCATTTCACTCTCCGGATAAGTCGCGGAAAAAACTATTAAAAACCATTTCTCTCTTAATGTCAACAGAGTAAGCATTAAGTATGAATGAAGTGAATGTCATACCGCTGTCATCGACAAGAAAGAAAACGCAAAATAATAATCAACTTGAACTGGAAGAAACAAGAGGTTTGGGCACGAAGATAAGTGCACGAGCTTAAGGGCATCAGCTAAACACAGTGCACGCAAAGACAATGATGTATTCAATTATAACTAGAAATTCAGATTCACTCTATGAAGACAAAGCATCGCCGTTTTTTCTTTTTTTATTGTGTTTAAAATGTGAAGTGCAATTGATCTTGATGAAATTGTCTTATTTATTTATAAGTTGCAGCTTAGTCTTAATGTCAGCTGGAAGCAGAAAAAGAAAGAATAGATGACTGACGTTTCAGCCACCCACTGACAGTAGCTTTGGCAACACTGGCACAGCAGGCATACTCTTTCAGTGGCTTCACTTCCTCCCCCTACACACACGCACACAAACACATGCACAGATACACAAGTGGGGGAAGTGAAGAAAAAAAAAGAATTATGGTGCCCCTTGTCATCCCCTGGGTAAGAAAAACACCATAATAGATTTTTAATGGCTATCTGCTCACCGAAAGAAAAAGGAAAGGTTGTGTTTTGAATGTCAGTGACAGGAGGTCAGCAATTACAAAGTGCAGGTAAAAAATAAAGCAAACTTTTCCGTAGCATTTCTTTTTCAAAGTTGATCAAAGCGTGCGCATGTTTACAACATCAGCTGTCTCCAGATGAAACGCAATGATTCTCACGTCACATTATAATTCAGAAAGTGCCGTTTGACAGTAAACACTGTGACAATGTTGTCTTGACTCTGCTGCATAAACATGTAATTCCAGCATGATCCTTAAAGTGATCTGAGTGATGGCTCAGGTACCCCGCTGTTCATGGAGCAAGCATGGAGACGGTGCTGGTGGCCGATCCGGAGGCTTAATAATGATAACCTCGCCAGTATTAGCTGCAGGGGTTGTTCACACAATAATTGTTTCTGCCAAGCCATATATCTATATGACAGAGGAAAAGCTGGTGTGACTCTCCTGCTAAATAACTGATTTACGGAGCGGCTGCGTCAACTATTTCAGAGATCGTTTGTTCTTTTTTTCCTTTTTCCTCTGAAGAAACTGTGAACTTATTAGCTAATTAGAAGATAATTACAAGTCTCTGTAAGTTGATTAGCAATTTCACTGCTGAACATTAACAACTTACAGAAAGACTGCACTCAATTTCAGCACTTGTTTTGCCTTACTTACCTAAATTCTAAATAGTATAAGTATTTAAAGATTTCACCTTGGCAAAACTTATTACCAGCTCCAGCGTGCAATTAAACTTGCCGAACAGGCATTAATTCTTTGTTCATTACCACATTAAATGCATGTAGGGTAATTTGACACTTCAATACAAGACTGCACGATTACGGCTATTAAAAGGCATCACTTTCGTACCAAAGGCAGGCGCATTTTGTTAATTTGCACAAGTCCATCTGCAGTCCCGGCATCCTGCACCCACTGTGGTGGTGACTAAAGTTTGATATGTAATGCTAATCCTTAGCCCGAGCTGGAAGGGGTCGCTCCCCCGCAGTTTAGAGTGACTCAAAGGTGAAGTCCTGAAAACAAATACATCGTACTCAGATGCTCCGCAGTTTACATTTCACTGACGCACATCGGCCCGTATTAGCAGCGCACAAAGCTGCAGTCACTTCCAACCCCGTGCAATTGTGTCTGGCTATACGGCAGTATCAATGCAGCTCGTGGGTCAAAGGGTCAATGAGTAATTAAGACATGGTTGCCTGAGCATTCCCCATGCACACTTTCAGTCCTGATGAAAGGTTGGCAATGAAAGGAGGGGGATTTAAGTGCAGCCTGATACGAAGGATCAGATTTCCATAAGTGTGTCTAAATGTTCCTTGTTCAAGGCAATTAGTATGATTAAAGAGATAGCGAGGGGTCATCACGCTGTTTAAGAGGATTTTGCACATGAATTCTGCATGAGGTTTTCAACAAAGCAAATGCTGCATTGCTTACAATAAAAACCTTTATGCTAGTCGTATTTTTAAAGTGTTGCCGAGGCACCGTCTAAATTACTGTACATTTCAAGACAGATTCAGCAACAGAAATGATTATTTGATTTATTACTTTTTTTTGTGACGTGGGTGTTAAAGTAAAAATGTGGTCAGGCGGCATGTAAATGTCTAGTTAAATCTTCTCGCATAAGATGATCATGAGGATGCAGAACATTTGTAACAACACGCAGGCAAGTAATCGTAGCCTTCAACTCCAGCGAAGGTCACAAGGTGCATTGATTCCCGTGTACGACAAGAAATTATTCCTAGAGTTTCATTGTTGCTAAAAATTGAAGAGGCCAAGGCCTGAAAATTGAGGTCGCTGATAAACGCTATTAGTAGGAGATGCTGAGAGGAGAAATCAATATGGCAGTTTGTCAACCTGCCTCTCAGAGGGAGGGGAACTCTGCAGCTGGGGTAAGTGTGCCCTGTCAGCAAAGCACATTACCAGAAATCAAAGGCCAGAGAAGGCCCGAAGGAAGGGATGTAGATGTCTCTCTACAAAGGCCACACTTTGGTAATTAAAACCTATTTTCTCAGACCTGTTGTATCACTGGTTTTTCTCTAACACTATTGACTATCTGTTGAGTGGAGGGTGATCACTAATTTAACTTTAAATAAATGAGCTGTGGCCATTTAGATTCCTGTACCTGTCACACAAAATTAAGCAAAAGACATCAAATAAATTATGTCACTTCATATCACTTACATCAAGTCTTGAAGGAAACATCTGACAAACTTAAGCTATGTTTTTTCAACAGGCGACATTGAGAAGCTTCTCGTTTCCAACGCGTGTAAGTACAAGTGCCATAAAAACCAAACATTATATCATCTCCTTTCTGCCATTCTCAATAATTTGATTTCATAATGTCTCCTCTCCTTTTGCAATAAAACCAAGATGAAAAATCTCCATCGCTCCATACTTCAGTCTATTCTTGAGGTATTCTTAAGCTTTCTGCTAAAGAATAATATAGTACAAGAACTGAACTTCAACTTTAAATATTTAATAGTACTTAAACACAACTGAATCTATGCAGTCCAAGAAGCGCATCTCAGGGGTCCAGGCCTACCCTGGAAACTCAGTGTCCCTTAAGTTGAATTCTAGCGATACACTTACTCTAAGTGAACTAGGTCATACAATTTGGTAAACACCTGTCTCTCACTGATAAGTTATAGCAGTGCAAACTCAGTATAATCATTCGTTCATGGTAGTTTAGTCTTTCTGCAGCATTTGTGGTACCCAGCATGACTGAGGACGACACCGAACAGGTGAGGCTATGCAGGTCAGACTTTGGGAAGTACCCAAACCAGATAGTTTTAAAGCACGAGTCTACTTGGAAATGACAAAACAAATGGGAAAATGTTGAAGATCTTGTGTGCCCACAGTCAACTGTTCTAGACCGTGGTGAGATTGCTGATCCACTTCTGTAACTGATTGTCTCCTGTTTTGCTTCTGCAATCTTTGACAGATATTTTTGCACATTTATAAGTGCAGCTACATTTCTCTGTTAGTGTACAATGTTTGTCTGGTTATAATTGTGCATAGCTTTTTTTCCTTGGGAAAAAAAGCAAACTTGAGCAGAATGACCCCATGTGAAAGTTGGTTGCTCGTCCAGTCAATATGATGTGCCACTCAGCTAGAGCACTACTGACATGACGGTAAAGGGGACCTGTTATGTTCACTTCCAGCTCCATGTTTTTATTCTTGCTTGACTCATGCTTAAAAATAATCCATATCACAATCTGATTGCAAAGCTCCCTGACAGGACAAGATTTTGAAAAATTGATTTTAAAAAATCCATATTTTTCTTATGCTTTGCCTTGGGACACTTTTTTTACTATCTGAAATAAGCAGTTTTCTCTCTGGTTCACCTTCTGATTGGCTGCTCAGATCTGATCAGTGGGTAGGGCTTCTTTGCTCACACTCACATGTATGTGCCTGAGATCAAACTAAGCCAACAGTAGCAAAAATGCAACTTAGTGTTCAGAGCAGTCTGACTTCAAAGCATTCATTCACAGGGATTGCTTGAATGTAAGATGACCTCACTATTAAACTCTGTATAACAGGAGCGTCGATAATTAAAATAGCATATAGGACCAAAAGCAAAGAAAAAAAACACAAAGGCTCCTTTTTAATGGTTTCAAAAATACAGCAGCTTGGTAGATAATATCCTCCTGAAAACACATTCAAGTTACTTTGTTTCCTCTTCACTTCAGTACTGTGCACCTTCCTCCTCTTTGTAGGCAAAATAGACTGTAACAGGTCCGACACTCGTCTGTACTGTTTCTGATGCTCCCACCACCATCCAGCAGCCAATGCCATAGGCCAAACAAGGGATACCTGCAGTTTAAAGGGACACTGAATATATGGACTCTGTTGTATTGGAAATAAAATACAAGTATGTAACAATGACAGCAACGTGGAAGAAATACTGACCCAGATTAATAACTTTTAACATGGTGAAAAATCTGTCTTCAAAATCCAGATTCTGAGGAGGCGCTTTAGTGCAGTGATATTTAATAAAGGGGAAACATCCCGTTCTCAGAATGTGGTAGTTGGATCCCTGAACTCTCCAATTAAAGTTTGACATTCCAAACTGGTCATTGTGGACGGAGCTGTAGCGGACACAGTATGAAGTCCACGGAGGAAGTCTGCGCTGCTGCAGGTGACAGGTTAACACCTCCGAAGCAGCTGGCCGCGGACCTGTCCTGCCTAACGTGCTAGGAAACAGAGCGATCTTCAGAAAGAGGCTGTGGGTCTTCTTCAAAAACTCCTTCATGGTTTTAAAGATTCGTATTTTAGCATTCGGACTGCAGAAGGACACACCTATAACTAGCCACACTTGGAATATACCAACGTTTTAAGAGTGAAAATACCAAGTTGTAACACATCAAAGCAGCAGCTGACATGAGATATGCTAAAGCTAGCAAGAAAACTCCCGTACGATTTGCGAGCTTAAATCCTCAGACCATGTCTGAGATGTTCCAACACTGACCTATACACCTGACGTGTCTCTGTAGAAATGCTGAATTCGCACACATGTATCTAAACCACCTGTGAGAAGAAGAGCAGCTTTCATCTGGTTGGTTTTCTGTTTCTGTTGTGCTTCTTGCGTCTGACCTCGTACCGCGGCTTAACTCATCCGGCTGGAAACGCGTCTCTCCGAACCCGTTCCTCTTTAACATAATTAACTTCAGTCTGGTATTTATTTATATCAAGTACTCGCCGGTTCATTCAATATAGGACTTATATCCTTTATAAGAATTTATAGACTGCCACGTGTTCAACAACCCTGTAAAACGACTAAACGTAAAGTTATTTTGTTCTTTATACTTCTACCGTTATTTACCACAAAAAAATAAGCATGAAAACGACAAATGTATGTTCCAGCTACCAAAAGACCTCTTCAAAATTAACCACCACTGACCCGAGTGCCAATAGGCTAATAAGTGTTTTTGTTGGTTCCATGACCACACCACCTACTCCTTTAAAATCCACTTAAAACCACCACAGCAACTGGTGAAGCATTTCCACGGTTCAGTGAACTGCTGTAGATCAGGACCATGGACAGCAGTCTATAAACTACGTGGTAATTAAACACCGCAAATAAGCCATAATATATACATATACACATATGCTATATTTAATACATGCGCTCATCATTTTTGTTTCTTTTATTATTTACTCGTATTTTGAAAATGTTTTTAAGAACCTCTTTAAGAACAGACATTTTAATTTATCTTTGGCTATAAATTTTGTGGTATGTGATGTGATTTTTGTTACATGTAATAAAATACCCCCCCCCCCCCCCCCCCCAAAACAAAAATAAATAAATAAAAAATAAATAAATAAACATGTTTGTTTTTTTTTAATTTGCGTTTTCGTTCATGTTATTTGAATATATCTTTGCCTGTCTTCCTTTTAGCATTTCAGTCGTTTGTGCAGCACTTACCTGCAGGAAGGGGGCCATATAATAAAGCTTGATTGATTCATTGATTGACCGTAATTTGTCAGGGTGATTGGTAATGCCTTAACAACTTCACAAACCAACCGAAATCCCATCTGCATGCTTTATAAATGATTTGCTAAATAATTTAGGTCCAATTCTGTGTGAAATGCAAATAGATAATAATTAAGTGATGTGAAAATAAATTACAGATGTATTTGTCCCAGATGTTTTCAGTGTCTTAAAATATTATTTCTGAAGTCAAATATGTGAAAATAATGCACACATTCAAATGTAATTCTAGTCTCTGGATTTAAAGGTGTAACAGAGCCACTGGGGTGCTCAATCCTCCATAAGAATTAGTCCTGTGAAGTTTTTCCATTATCACATGTTGTCTTTTTTGCAATACAACTGTCTATTTGAACAGAGGGGGGTAAAGCATGACTATGAGTGCTTTTTCCTGGAAATCTAAAATTTTATGTGCTTTAAAAAATGTACATCAAGTAAGGCTCTTGGATAAAATTAACATATATAAATCCTTGATACAAATTACAAAATAAAAATTAAGTACGATTTAAATGTTTTTTTGCAATCTCAAATCCACGAATACACGCATCGTCTCTACTTAGAAAGCTTAGAAAGTCAACGTTCACAGTCCAGTGAGGACCAGACTGAAACACTGTCATGTCACCATATGAGGCGAGTTGTTTGAAATTGTCAGCCTCCAGATGAGGACTTTGACAATCAAACTAGTTGACTCTAATCTAATTTAATAAAAATCAACCACAGTAGTGCATGGCCCAATTTGTACAGAAGAAAGGTATTCTGGGAGATATATATATATATATATATATATATATATATATATATATATATATATATATATATATATATATATGTGTGTGTGTGTACCAGAAGCATTTGACTTGGCAGAAGAAGCATACATTGCTATATACACACATTTGACTTCTTTTTATGTACACACTTTTTGATTTACACATGCAAATTCCTTCTGCATAGGTTTCTGGCAGTGTAATCTTTGTTTATAGTAAAGTATATTCAGGCTTTTGAAACTTTTTACAAAGCCAGTGATTTTACAGATTTGTGATATATTTAGGGGGTTTTTTCAGGAATTTATTTGGAAAGTCCTTCAATCATCTTCAGAGTAGACATATTTAGTTATATTTAGTGATTTTGGAAAAGCAAGTCAGCAACACTGATAATGGAACTATCTAAGATGCAGGTTTAGCCTCCCGTTGAAGCTTGTTCTGAGTCATCTGCAGTATATCTTCTATTTCCTTAATCACCTCCTTCAAGTAAAGCAGACAGAAAAGGAAGCAAACTTAGAGTATTACCTATTATTATTCCATAAAATCATCAACATTAACTTGAAAATATATTCTTATTAGGATATTTATGAGTAGTGATCATGCTTTCAGTTTCACTGATACACAAGTTTCATGACAAATAGATGAGGAGAGATCATTAACTCATTAACATGGTACCATGAAATTGGTTTCTCCTTGGCTTTTAGGGATTGATATTTCCTGATGAATGACTGACAGATGCCGAGCAAAGGTCGCGAGAGCTCTCTGGAGATCCTCTGAGACTGTTCTATTAACGACACCACAAACAAACGAGTTTACTAATGATCCCCAAGTCGCCAGCTAAGAAACAATCACCTTGTTCATCTGATAGTGGTGGTTAAATGAAACTTTCAGCAGACAACATCTTCGCTCTTTAGGGGGATGAGCACAGCTTGATTTAACTGTTACAGCATTGTGGAAGCGAAAGGATTTGTGTGATAAATATGTTAAATAACCCTCTGCTTAACAACTTTTAGAGTTTGTAGCATTACCAAAGCTAGAGGTGGCATCTTAATCCTCTGAAAGAATTGATTTTACTCTTAGCCATGTGAAGTCTTTCTCCTAATCGCCTATTATCTTCTTTGGAAAGTGATCGCCTATTTGAACAGAGGAGAGTAAGGCTCCATCTCCCGGGGATGAGCCTCAAATTTTATACACATATATGCAGCAAAAAAACAAAAATCTTATTCTCTTCCACATTATGTTTGTCCATATTTCTGACTTAAAATAATAAAAGATCAGCTTATGGTTTGTCTATAAAGAAAGAAAGTTCATAACTCATGTTTTCTTGTATGGATCTGGTGTAGTAAGACATACTTACATCATTCCAATACTGCTTCGCTTACTGCTGTCAAAAAAAGCGAAAACTGTGCCTTGCTTTGTCTGAAACGCAAGCAACAAAAAACAGAGAAAAATAAAGCTTCATCATTGTATAGCAAAGAGTACTAACTATTAGTGCATTTCAACCCTGCTTTAAATCTAAGCTCTTTAAATTCACACCTTTTCTGTATGTTGCCCTCCCTCCATATGCTGTTGTACTCATTAAAACCTGAAAACAGACTCTGATGTGTAAAATCTGTGCAGTTTCCCTTTGTATTAACCATATAACAGGAACAGTGGAAATGATGATAGAAAAGCGTGCCGATCAATTCTGAATTGTTACCTTTTTGTTAAATCTTATGCCATGGGCCTTGCACATCATAAGGAACACCTTATTGTATAACATGGAAAGGTCATAGTGAAATAAGTGGTTCCCAATAACTGCACAAAGATTTCCAACTGGAGCCTGGACAAAAAAAAATAGACAGAGAGAAAGAAAGAAAAAAGAAAACAGCAGAAGATGTGAGTGATGACTGTTTGTCAATTAATTCATTGAATCCAATAATTTAAAGTTTGATTATATTTGGCAGCTAAGTATGGTGGTGGTGTGTGAAATAGATAGAGCAGAAATGGCTAAACCCCAGACATGTCCTTAGGGTCACTGCTGAATTTGTGTGTGTGATTAGTGAACGTGATGAGTACGGGGCACATGTGGTAAACTGTTGGGCCTTTCTTAATTAACTGCAGGGAGGAACAATTAATGCTTAGAAGACATGCCAAACACAAGATGAGCTTAATTGTACGACACCAATCAAAGAAACTACAGGTTGGGGACTGCAGATTTTTTTCATTCAATCTAAGATCAAAGCATTAGTGAATCCACGAAAGGAATACTCACTGCACACAACATTCTGTATCACCGTAATAGAGGGATTCTGTTTGCATGTGTCATAAGTAACACCAGAGAGGTTGATTACTTAAAAGTGGCAGGGCTTAGGAGGATAAAAATGTTCCTGCTTCTCAGCCACCTTTGGGAGACTTAAAGAGTAGGCCTAAGCCCCCGTGAGCTCAGGAGATAGCCCATAACTTGCTGTGAAGGGTGTGTGTTTGCAGTTGTCAGATGCAGGGCCCTCACACAACAATAAAAGCGTCCAACTGGGATTTAATTGTGTTTGTAATATGCAGGGCCTTAATGACGGCCAGCGCCGAAGCCATTAAACACTGCAGTGGCTCAACTGCTGTACTGAAGCACCAGGCCACCAACTAAATGAATGTTTGATAAAATAATACAAGTCGCAGATCAACAAGCGTAAACTCGGGCATACTGCTAATAAAAGAACTCTATTGTTTAAGGCCTGGCACCAGGTTGATGAGGTGTTCAAGCATGCATACACATGCATAATGAAAATGGTATGAATTATTAATGTGTTGATTATTTAGGCTCATCTATCAAAATGATAATGAATTCAGCACCTAAACACCAATTGAGCTCGGTGCATAATTACAGTATTTAGTTGTATTTAACAATAATGAAGAGCAAAACGTTGATCTATCTTTGTGATTACTGAAAGGCTACGAATAGCCTCCATAGTCTCAGGCTGCTTTTTTGTTGCAGAAACTACGTGACGGCATCATTTGATTTAAGAAGAAAAAGAAAAAAGTGTGAATTTAAATTATAGCATCTAAACTCAACACACTGATAGGTGAGTAAAGACATAATTTAAACTGCAAATATAAGCAAATATAAGACGGTACTTTGGGCACGATCTGGTGTTCACAGCATTTCTCGCTGATTGGCATTGGCGCTTCTAAACAGCCTGTGCGGCAATTCAGCGTTCCTCCAGTCATCATCAGAAGCATCTGGGTCATGGCCAGCTGGTTACTGTATGTGATGTCCAGATCAACAGCCCACACCTGCAAACAAGACGTCGTGAACTCTGTGTCATGGAGAGAAGACAAAACTCTATAGACTTAATCATTTCAATTTAATCACAAAAAAAATGGAACATCAAAGTATTTCATCCCCGGACCTTACAAAGCGAAGAGTTAGCACCTCTTAATCCTTACAATGTTACTCATGTTAAGAGGCAAACATAAGGAAAACACAGGCATGGTGAGTGTTTGACTGATTTAGGTAATTCAGTTCTGACATGTGCACAAAGTAGATCCTTCCCTGTGTATTTGAATTCGGGCAGCCCTGGGCATGTTTGGCTCAAGTCTGATGAGAAGTAAAGTTCAGTTATGTATGGTAAATGGCGTCATTATAAGTATATTAAGGGGTCAGGTATGGTCGTAGCCCTCCGCTTAAACAGGGCTAATTTTCCCAATAATAACCTAATAGCTCTGCCCTTTCTTCAAAAGTGACAAATAAATCACCAGTGAAGGAGTTGTTAATAACTAAGTGGCAGTTGGCTGCCTCCTTTAGCCATTCCTATTTGTCAAAGTAAACGCTCCTGCCACCGAATGCAAATTGCTGCCTGTCTGAACCCGCAGTCTCGGTAACCCGAGTACTTTATCTCCACCAGCACATGGACATCTGACCATACGCAGTAATTATCTTAAATGCTTCACTGTGTTTTATATGAAATTTGAATATATTGTAAAGCATATTGCACAGTCTGCTTCTATAACAATTGTTTTTGGGACCGATTAGTGCGACAGCGTGTAAAAAACAATTCCGGAGAGATACCTGAAAATGTGAGATGTTTGGAAAACTTGAAAAGATTGGGACAAGCGGGAAAACTGGAAAATGTGTGACATGTTTATCTGAAAAATTTGTTTTTAAAATGTTATAGAGACAAAAATAGCTTTTTCCTGATTTGACATAATCTGATTTATAGGGCAGAAGTTACGCAGTTTTGGTTAGTAACCTTTTCTTCCCAATAAGAAAATGCCCAAACTTATGATTTATAAACTGCAGAAACAAGTATGAAAATTTCACGAGGTACATAAAAACGTCAAAAAGAAAAAGTACAGTATGTGGATACAAAGTTAAAAAAAATTCAAGGTGGGAAACACTTTAGCAGAACTGAGTGAGCTTTTCTGTAGGTGGTACTTTAGCTACCTGTGGGCAGATTCACGTCTCTATATATCAGGTTGATACCTGGGCCTGAGTGATGGACACACTTCACCAAGCCATTCACTCAACTCACTAAAACTCATACACCCCTGTCCCATTGTTGCTCTTAACAAAGCTGTGGGAAATGTAAGCCTGGATTGTACCTGTTTTCTATTGCCTTGCATTTTCATTAAAAGCCCCGATGCTGCAGCTGGGGCCCCACCGTTCCACAATGTGAGGAAAGACTGCAAGGGCAAACATATGTGACCCACTTCTTCCCATCAAATAAAGTAGGCAGCTTTTAGCAACAGGTTTGAATCTAAATTGATGTTTAAACCCAGACAGGTTTGCCCATGTGGCTCTCTTCCATCTAAGCTTTGTGTGTATGGGGAGATGGTTAAGAATCTGTCATTAATGTTCCTGCCTCTATTGAAGCACACGCTGTTTTATAGTCTATTCTTAATTATGCTGTCAGTGAGTCCCTTTCAATTTCAGGTCAACATTGAAGATGAAAATTAATTTTAAGCCTGTCATTATTTCATTCTAAACAGGTAAAGGAAAAAGGGCCTGATTCTGTCCCGAACACATTTAAGAAATTTCTGCTTTTAGTGTCACCATTTTGTCACTGAAATGACAGTTTAATTTGACTAAATAAAATCACAGGATGTAAGAAAGTACTGCAAGTTGGTTTTTTACCCTAAAATAAATACAGCATGGTAGAGTCCACAGTCTGTGCAAAGCCTACTGACAAAAACATTCCTGGCTGGATTTCTAAATCTTCAAAGAAAGAAAAAATGCTGATAATCTAAAACAAAATCGGACATTTGAGGTTATAGGATGCAAATTGCAACACTGCTTTGCTTACATTGTACATTACATCTAATCCAGAAGATACTACCCTCTAGTGGCAAGTGTGCTCTTTCTCCAACTCCGGCATATCTATTATGAATATAAACAAAAGAAGGAAAGTCGGAAAAGTGCAGGGACGATATTTTTTGAACTGTTCTGAATAAAAATCCATCATAAATAACTAGAGGACAAATTGTATTCTGCTACTGGTGTTCTTTCATGTTTTTTAATGAAAGAAGGGGAAAGAAGATAGTGTCCTTCTTTCTTCTTTGTGCTTTTGTAAAAACTGTAAAATTCCACAGTATTTTATAGACTACATTACATACAAAGCATTTCATCATACAGCTCCAAATCAATAGGCAGTCAGTCAAGCCACATGTTAGGAGCAGAGGTTAAAGCATCATAAACCAGTCCATTTCAAATATCATAAATCAAAGTGCTTTCAGCAAAACTTAATCCTGACAAATGAAATAAGACTTCCATGCTGCCTGGCTATAATAGCGAGATACATTTCAGCCGACTGCTGCAGGTAGGGGTTAAACACTGACAGGGTATCCCCCCACCCGAAGCTGCCAAATCACTTTGGAATGACCTATTGTCTGAAAGATAGGTGCCTCTGAAATTCTCAGTATTGTAAGGTTAAAGGGCAAGCCTTAAATGGTGGAATCAGTGTATCGACACAATAAGACTTGACAGTTTATTAGATGGCCTTGTGACACATTTGCTCCCAGTGCCCACAGTTTGCCTTATCTTTTTTTTTAGATCCCAGGGGACTAATATGGGCGGCACCTAACTGCTCCTATGGATCCAGCCTAAAAATTGATCTTTTCCACCAATACGTTGAAATAAAAGCATTTGCAGAATGTGTTGTAACACCTTAGATCATATCTATTATGATAGATAAGCTAAGATCTTCTCTGTTTGTGTCTCACCTTCTTCTCCATGGTGTTATGGTCCAGAAAGCTAACGAGATCCACAGAGACATAACCTACGATACGCCGCTGCAGGCAGGCCCGGCCTACACGGGTGCAGATGGAGTGCAAAGTTTCTGGGTGTACAGAGCTCTGAGGAACAATGGAGCCTATAGCTTCAAGTTTACAACCACCATGGAGTTGGTCTCCACAAGAGAACATGGTCACTTCACCCCCTGGCTCCAGCAGCAGATCTACTGTCAGACAGGTGACACTGTTTGAAGGGGGGTAGGCCTCCACCACACCTCCTGGGAACATAGCAGAGCAGATAAATGGCTCTAGTACCCTCAACAAAACACAGCCTAACAGTAATACAGGACCTGAACTCTCCTAGCAGCTGTTTAGCAATCACAGAAAGTTACATGAAAATTATTGAATTTCGCATTTCACAAAGGCAACACCTGTGAAGCAGGAATGACATAGGAAATCCATATTACATGCTGCTATATTTGCAAGTGAAAAGCATTCCGTGCCTGACAATAGATATCTAACCTTGCCTGAGGAAGGTCTTCAGGAAGCAGGCCCAGTTGGGATAGCAGGAGGTTTTAGCAGGCTGGGCATAATGGGTCAGCCATTCTGGGATCTCATCTAAATATCTGAGCAGCACAGTCTCCTACAGAAAGAAAGTGCATACATTAAGCATCTACTGAATATTGTGCAAATTTTAGGAGTTTTTGTATCAATTCAATGCAAAATAATAAGTTTCAGTTACTTCATTATTATTAAAGCTTTGTATGTGTTGACCATATTATTGGAAGCACATTGTGTTTGACTCCAGTGACTGCTTGTTGTCCCCCAGACCTTGGGTGGCTGCTTCAATTTCTGTGCAAGTGTCTGATGGATATTGCGGGAGGGTCCATCTGTGAGTGACAGCCTATTATCAGAAGGCCTCAGGAGTCTAATGGCTTTAACTCACAGCCTCCAAGCAGCTGCCCTCAATAACAACTCTCTCCACTGGGCAGTTGATGAATACGTAAGCTAACCCCATCTATCTGGGGATCAATCAGGGCTTGACTGAGATCGATATCACTCTTGTTTCTGTAACTAGGAAATGCCATAATGGTTACACCACTTAATTATGCTGTTAATTTCTAACTTTTGTTTTAGGTTTCCCTGAAACAGTTTGACAACAACAAGTACAACTCTCTTCTTATAAGGCTATGATGGCTATATTTAAAATACAATGCCCTGACTAAACCCTCTGTAGCCAGTATGACAACAACAACAACAATGCTGTACGTGTGGCGCCAACAGAGAAGAATTTAATTTTTTTCATACACAATAAAACATGAAAAACATTTTTAAGAGATGACTAAATTATAAGTAGAAATAATATCTTTCTTCTGTCCTCATACTATCAAGATCATTACTTTGTTTTGAGTGCACGCTGTTGGGCTTCACTGGAGACAGGACCAGAGATTATACTGTTGATATTCCAGTCATGTAACAGCCATCATCATATTCAAGTACTGTAAGAGGCGAGGTCAAATGCTACACAGTGATTCCCCCTATACAAACCATAAAGCACACAATGGTGCGGCAAAAAGTGTAAGGGAACGGTTGTCATTCTCAACGGAAGAGCAAACTCACCCCGGGACTTTGCCTATGCAGTTCACAGAAACAGCAGGACAGTAAGAAAAGAAAGAGAGGTATTTTGCAATAAATTATTTGGACTTAAACTGCGTATAGTACCCTGTGATAGGATTCAGCCTTTGCTTGGTGTCCACATAAAGCCAAGCAATCTGGTCATAAATAAAATAGATGTTGCCCTGGCTCTTTGATTGCCATTTCACCTCTCCACTACATAGCACAACAACTGAGATACTACAGTGAACAGGTCTCAGGAACAGGAAGATATAATCAGGCTACTTATATATTTCGCATGAATATTTGCTTTACTTCAACCTCATCCTTGGATTTCTTGTACAAACTGAGGCAAAATTTCTTTGCATAAACATTGTAAATAAATACCTAGGATTGTCTTTGCAATGAAAAAAACAAAACATATATATATATATATATATATATATATATATATATATATATATATATATATACACATACATATATATATATATATATATATATATATATATATATATATATATATATATATATATATATATAGACTAAAGGAAATATTTTAAATTCCTAAATTCAGGCTAATTATATTAAGGCAAAACATTACATATTTAAACTCCTCCATGCAAGCACAGACTGCACAATATTTAGACATAGAACATCTGTATTAAATGTCCCTCTACCTCTTCAGTGGTAGTGATTATCAAATGACCCATTTCGCTGACAAACTTAACCTAAATAAGGTGTTGCTCAAGATCTGTTTGTACACAGCATGACAAAAAGAAATACTCCATCTGTTGACGCTATTAGGTGTAATTTTTACCCTCTTGTGCCTAATGATCCATATGCAAGCTGTGTGAGCGCTTAAGTGTGTGTATGGCCCCCTTCGGGCATTGCAAGGCTGCAGATCTACATGTCTTTAACCTCTCTCTGTGTAAATGCTAAAAGAGGCCTGGGGGCTTTCTGCAGGCTAAAACATTGTGCTGGAAGCTGTGGGCCTCACAATATTTTGAGAAACACACGCTTTCTAAGACCTGTGCAAAAGCTCCTATAGTAAGGATGAACCCCCCCCACACACACACACACACACACACACACCACCACCACCCATCCATTCTCCTTTTTGTATCATTTTAGGCTATCCTTTTGCATAGCCAGAAGGGTTCTGAATGTTAATATTATTTTGAACGAGCACATGGTATCATCTGACTCAAGCTTTCTCATATGGAGCCCGTCAGAGCAAGCAATAATTAAGAAAAAAGGGCCAGTCACACTCATTTATCCCCCATCTACTTTTATAGTGAATATAATGGGACTTTAACTAAACTATGACACATATGATAATATACACTTTAATAATCCCTTTGATATTTATTGGTAAACAATTATTGGTGAAAGCTGATAAATTATGGATTAGTATTATAATGCTTAATTTGATCATTTGTATTTGATTAATAATTTATTAAAACTACTGTTTTCGTAAAGCTTGCGAAATATTCTGGAGTATATTCACTAGCTGTCATTACGAGTGCAGTTAGATCTATTGTTTTTCAGCAAAGTGCTCTATTAATGAGCGTCATTTCTCAAAATGTATGAAGAAGGTTAAACATTCATGATAGTTTTTGCTGTGTGAAGAAGATAACGATTAGATACATTAATATAACATATTAATATGCTCGGATCTACTCAACAATACTGTTTTATGATCTTTCAGCACAAAGAGCCAGATTGCACTCTTCTGTATAAAGCATTTCAACAGAAGGTCAGTATGATTCACATCCAAGTGGCTAACAGATTTTAGGAGAAAACAATATCGTAAGAAAAACATCATGCAATGAAGAGCACAGGATGTGGGCTTTGCTTTGATTAAAAGAGCAAGGTGTAGAATAAAGGCCAGTTAAAGTGTTGTGTCCATATGGCCCAGAAGCCCCGAGGCTGTCGGCCTACACTGGGGGCCTCGGCACTCTTCCCTCTCCATGGGACCCCAGCTGGTGAAAGAAACCCCATTTACTTCCCTGTGCTGCTTCAGCCACCATTATGGACCTTGGCTGTGGCTCAGCCACTCTCTGCCATAATTAACAGCACCAAAGCCACAACAATTACAGCCCCGCACCACACATACACTCTGAATTAAAGAATGAGCTAATAGGAACAAAAACAGAGGGAGCCACAAGAACCTTGAGATGACTGCTATTCTTCCGAATGGAATAAAAAGTAAAATTGTTGTGCTCCAAGCCCACAATCATTAGCCTGTAATTAGTTTACACAGTGCTCCCAGTTAAATGGCAAAATACGGTAATTAACACATGACAGAAAATCAAAGGCTACTTTGTAAGCATATGAGAAATAAGAGCCAGGGGCTCAGGCGCTGTGTACAGATTGCATTTGTTGTAAATGAATGGTTTACCATTGATTAAATACATTTTATTTGTTCTAAATAGATCCAAGATGAAACCAGGATTTATATTTTCAGGAAAAACAAATGAATTCTTGCAACATCGCATTTGCAATTTAGACTTTATTTTATAGAGAGCTCAGATCCATCTAATGAGTGTAACAGATGTAAAAAGCTCAGTATAGCAAATATTAATGTAACTTGTATTTAAACTATTCAGTTCTGTTCTATACAAAGTTACTGATACAGTGACAATTCACAGCAGCCATCACAAAGAACTTTACATGCTAAGGTAACAACTAAGGCGAAAACCTCACTCAAGCTGCAGAGTAAAAGTATCAAAATACACATTACTTTGGGAAAGTCTTGAATCTCCCCCCATTTCTTTAAATTTCATTTTAAAGGATGTATTTTCTCCTAATTTCCTAAGTGATCTTGAGCAATATTTCTCTAGACTTTTTGAAGTTTTTCTTTGGTTGCTTCTTCCCTTATTTTCAGTCCAGTCCTTGCAACTGGCCATCTTCAGAAGAATATTTTTTTCTTACTTTTTTTTGTTGAGCCACACAACAAGCAACTCAGCAAAGTATCAATTGTAAATTGTATCTTTAGGAACTTTGTTACTAGCTGCTGTCACATAAACACAATTTGCTTCCAATTCTTTAACCGAATCTACAAAAAATGACATAAAATTAAAAAAAACTATCTGCAGCACATGAACAGCAGATGAAAGTCTTTAAGAAATATGAGAAAATCCAATAAAGACCTGAGCCAGGGACTGAGAGATACATTTGACACTTTAGTTGATCTATTTGCTGTCCCATTAGAAATGATCCCAGTGGAAAGGTTGCTGCCAAGAAGCGATTCTTAAGAAAGAAAAATTACACAAGTACTAGACTGAAAATCAGTGGCAACAGGTCTTAAAAAGCAGTGAACCAAATTTGAAGATTTTGGTTTAAATCGCTGTTAGTATGGACGGAGGAGGTCAGGATCCACCATCTGTAAAAGCTGATTTGCAACATCCAAAGAAGAGCTTCAAGAAGCCTATTGCAACAAAGTCTTCCTAAAGGTGGTGATACCAAATGTTGACTTTCAATGTTGTTAGAATGGTATAAACTCTGTTTATGCCTTATATACTGTATTTATTTGTATGTATGTAGACATTTCAATAAGTCACTGCACTTGTTTTCTTAGGAAAATATAAAAATGAGGGGGTGACTCAAGAGTTTTGCACAGTACTATACGGATAGGCAACAGTATGTTAAATACACTATGTGTACCGTGATTTGTTACTGTTGGATGAGTTAAAGCACTCTAGGTTATGTGTGTGTTTCAGGATATATCTATATGTATAAAATATGTATAAAATTAAAAAATGTCATCTATTGATTTACTGTTCTGAGGCTCCTGGGATGACGTTTAAAATACTGTACTAAGGGAATCAGCATTGCCACTGACCCCAGGGTGAAAAATGACATCTCTTTGACCCTAATGTGACATACACTTTTGTTCCTTCAGTGACAGAAGTGAATCTAACCCTTTTTTGGGGCTCTCTCTTCTTCTGAACACCTGGGCACAGTCTGGACTTTAATATCCAGTCGCTACTGTAGTGTTATCTGTTAACTATTTAGTTGTTACCATGTTAACTTAAAGTGGGAGATTCCTCATGGGTGCTGTAATAATAATCGCAATAAACTTTATTTGTATTGTGTTTTTGCAAAACCACTGCTTTGGAGAGAGCCATAAAAACAGGATATAATAGTAAAAAAAACATAAATTTGGTGAGATGTAATAAGGAAAAGTAATCAAAAAAGAAAAACAGAAACTCCAAATTCAAACTCATTTAATAAAACATTGCATAAAATTGAGTGTAAAATTATGCTCAAAAATTTTAAGTCACAGGAAGATTGACATAATGCTCTGAGTCACATCTTTACCTGAATGCATTTTGGGTTCCACAGCTCCGGACCGTAACGATGATACTCCTGCAGAGCCCACTTATAGCAACTAAGATGGCATGTATCACAATATGCTGTACCGTGGCTGCCATCCTCTGAGTCAATCTTGAAGAGCCAGCGCTGCACATCAGTGTTTTGAGTCATAAGCTCTGCCAGTGTTTCATGAAGCTTGACCAAGATTGAAAAATGTGCAAACTAAATTAACACAAACATTAGGAGGGAAAATGTATTATGTTTTCATCTGTTACTGAGCAGTGATGAAGGACTGTGTAATGCAGTATTTGGTGTCTGACCTGGTTTAGCGAGTAGATGTCTCCTTGACCAGGTGGCACATCGACCTCTGCCCCCACAAAAATTCTCCTCCCTCCAGATTTGGTGCTGTAGTGTTGAGCAATAGCAGGTTCTGGACCCAGGATTGGTAGCCCTAACTCATCAGCTACCGCCAGGTCATCCACGTGGGCAATTCCACCCACAATATAGGCATGCTTCCCCTGGATCAGGTTTCTGATGTGCTTCAGGGTTTGTGGACTGTACTTCAGAAGTGTAGACAGGCACATGTTATGGGTCTGGAAGAGAAGAGGGGAGGACGATTTTCAAAGCGGAGCGTTTTCACTGTCTCTTCCAAGGGTTGTTTCTTGACCTGATTTATCACTGTGTACACAAAACAGATCTATTATTGAAATAGCCAGCAGGGTTTTGACCTCTCCTGTATTCTAGCAGGTTGAATTGATAAAAGCTGCCTGTGGGAGGCCTCCCCTATCCTTCACATCTTTAATGTGTGCTCCCAATGAGCTCCTTGGGAATACAACTAATTACTTCACATCTGTATTTATTTGATCCACATGGAATTATCCCTTCTGTCACTGGCAGAATGCGCTGCCAGCCATGGGTAGCAGTGATTCATCTCAGCAACACGTCTGGCACAGTTTAACAACAAAACAGCAGGAAAATCAATAAAAAGAATGAAGAAGACCATGTCATGTTGCACATTCAATCTAGCGCAAAACGATGGAATAAGATGGATAGAATGGCTGGATGTGCAAAGATAAATATAGCAACAGCTTCACTTTTATAGCAGTGAGATACTCAGAACTATTAAAAATACAGCCTTTAAATGTAATGATGAGTTAATTAAACCACCCACTATGGAATTTAATCATCTGCTGAACAACATCTGAAAACACCCTCAGTTAAATTCAGTAAAACTTGCAAAATATGTAGAGTTTTGGTTTGACAAGTAGAAAGAAAGATGAAAAAATGTTAGACAGAGTGTAGCGCTATAACAACAACCTCCTTTGGTACCCTCTAGAGGATAATTTATAAACTACAAACGCTTGTGGCATCTATAAATATATAGTAAGCAGATTTCTGTGCTCAAAAGGCACATTGTTATCATGTTAATACTTAAAAGTTGCAAGTAAATTGGTGAATACTGTCATCCTTACTGGGAAATAATCTACAGCCTCAGGTGTGAGGATGATGTAGCGTCTCACGGAGGATGAGGCTCGAGCGGTCCTGGTATCAGCCCCATCTGTGGCTCCATCACACTTCAGGAGGCTGGTGTAATAGTCCAAGATGTCGTTTCCCAGATGCTGGGGACATATGTAGATCACCTCCACATTTTCATCTACAATTACACAAAGAGTGTTTTACAAATGGCATGTTTACAGATATGAACAATAAAAAAACGTAAGCTGTGCAGCTTACCTCTAATATCACACAACCTGCTCATTTGGATGTTCTGTAGGATGTCAGAGCCTCTCAAGTTCAGTCGTTTCCCCTGAGAGTATCCTGTCAGAAAAATGTTATATGTTATCTAACAGTTTAAAAATCTGTAGCTCTGTACAACTACTGATAATGCGTGTGTTACTAGACTTGGGGATGAGGGACTTAAGTCTAATCACACTGTAGTGCAATCCGATGATTAATTTAGCTTAATAACTAGCAGGTGCTGTGCCTGTCGCGTGCTGGGAGTCCTGCTGCACCATGTCCAGCCACCACTGAACTACATTCAGTGATACCGCCAGGATTTTAGCCCATGTATGTCTGGATTTCTGCCTGAGAGAGAATCCTCAACTGAATCAAGGTAATTAAATGATTGGATTCATGCTAATTAACAACAATGGGGTTCAACTTTCTAATTATCCTTGCTCACACAGCACTCTCTGTAGTCACCCCAAGTGCAAATAAAGCATTCCATCTGCTAGTAATTAGGCTTAATAATTTTAGACAATCGCTCAATGATTTACAATGCACATGCCTGATTACTGTCTAAATGTGGATGCTGTGGTGAAATTAGAACAAGAACCGATCCTAGATTGCACTCTGTGTTTAGCGTGAAAAACACAGCAGCGATTCCTCTTTTGTGTCTTTTTTTTCTGCCTTTTTTTTGCGCAGCAATAAAATAAGACCTTTGTGCCGCTTGTAAATATTCACCATAATGGCTTTTCATTTGCTTAATCTACAAATTAAATGGCGATTGAGACTAAATTGTTCAGTTCCCTGGCATGGGGACTGTCATCATCCTGTGAGTGCTTTCCTGCAGAGAGTCATTTGAACGAGACAGAGTGCCTGCACCAGGGCCACAGACTGGGGCAGCAGAGTGGTGAGACCGGGGGTGACTGCTGCTAGATCAGATGTGCTTGTGTGTGTGCAGCAGGCAAAGAAAGCTACCTAATGAAGGGATGTGGATAATGGTCCTCTTGAAGGACTGGATGCGTTTCCAGTTGGCTGCCAGATGCTGGGGACGGAAAAAAGGAGCGATCAGAGATGGGATCGCCAGAGCGTATGCACACACACACATACACACACAAATCATCATATCATTGCATAGCTAAAACACATCAAGCCAATCTCTCTCTGGGCTCACAGAAGCAAACCAAGCATAAAATACCACCGTAATTAAATTAAGCGTTTACTTTAGGAACATCTTCTCACAATTAATTCAATCAGCAAGGTACATGATGCTACTGCCAGGGGAAGATTAGCAGGCTTAATTACCAGGGTATGAATGCTTTAAGAGTGAGAACATACATTTAGTGCATGTATACACACACAGTAATGGTAAAACTAAATGAGGTTTTAGGCACTAATTAATATTATGTCAGCGCTCTAGAAGATGTTCAGCCAGATGACACAGAGACATGACATCTACAAGAAAAGGGAAAAGGATTACAGAATATTACGTATGTAGAACAATTGAACTGTCACAGCAGTCTTTTAAATAGAAACACTGTTTTATTTCCCATGTCTAAGATTACAAGTTAACGTAGTTAAGTATACGTCATGCATTCTGCCATGTTAAGGAGATGTTAAAATATTTGGAGATACTGAACATAAACTTTGGGAAGCCTGCCTGGAAGTCTTCAATGAAGAAAATCAGTCTTTTCAGCCTAATAAATAAAAAAACGAACTTGTTTTTAACTGCAGTTCTGGTGTAGATTATATGTACCGTCACTCTTTTGCATCTCTTAAATTATGCCAGTGTGATTAGAACATGTTTACTGTTTATTTACACGTTAAAATTCACAGTAACATATTATTTTTGAATGAAGAAAAAATCCCTTTCCAGTATGTGGGCAATATATAAAACACATTCTCTGAACAATATTTGATTTTCTTCACCTAAATCTGCCTTGTAGCTTACTGAAAAACGCAGAAGCCATGACTATGTAAATATATTTTATTTCATACTAGTGGAATAAGATTCATTAGTTGTTCATTAGATCAGGATTGATACTTAATAGCACAAATCATGCTCACTTGCTAAAAAGTGTGGCATTTTTAAAAGCAGAAAGATATATTTTTTAATATTTCCTAAATTAATCTAAGGTTGTAAAAAACTGGTAAACAGGTAAAAGTGCTACAGACACTGTAGAGAGCTGTCCTATCTTATAAGAATATCAATCCTCTCTGGGGTGAAGAGAAGTAGCCTTGTGCTTGATCGACAAAGAACACAATTGATGTGGCACTGAGAAAATACATAATCAATTTTTTTCATTAAATCAGATGTTGAGTATCAGAAGAGAGAGAGGGGAAACCTTTCCTTTTTAGAGATCAAATAACTAACAAATGCCAAAACACGTATTTCATTTTTATAACATTTCATCATATGTGTAGTAATTATTACTTGAACTGTAACAGACAATCAGCTGATTGTCCCTAGGCTTTGTAGCCTTCATTACCACTGTTTCTGCTTCTGTCTTCTTTTACAGTGTGGCTATACTTATATTTATTGTCTTCATCCCGTCCACTTTTCCATTGTCTTTTTGTTTTCTCCTTAAACTTTACTAAAATGTGTATATCTGGGTTTGTTTCTTTAAATCTCACACTGTAAGTACTAGAGAAATGCATTTTTTACCACTGTAAACAATTGTCTATAACACTGCATCTTAGCATAGCATTACATGGCTTCTGTCCAAATTTCTAAAATTGTCTTGGTGTTCTAGAAATGACCATGTGCCTTAAAAAATGCTTGTAAAATACAGAACATTTATACTAAACAGAATCACAATGTGCAACCTTATTTTAATGAAAAGGAATCCATTTACAGTCAAAGGACAAATATCAATGGATTCATTGGATTTGGAGAAATTGAGAGAATAGTCAAGAAAACAGGTACCAGAGCATTATTAGGTAAAAGAGAGATGGAAGCGAGAAAGTAGCATCACCTGTGCTCGGCTGCGGCTGTTTTCCAGCTGACTAAAACGCCGAGCCTGCAGGGCCTTCCTGACACGGCACAGCTGAGCGTGCATCAACCATGAGATGGCAATGGTGCCTGCCGCCCACTTGCGGCGACAGTGGCACAAGTAGGCTGTCCGGGCTAAGTAGCGCCTCCAGGAGGACTGGATGTGGATGGCAGCGGCCTCGATGCCTCCCTCTCCCTTGTAGCGCTGACCTGGGTGCGAGATGAGTTCTGAAACCTCCTCCCAGTTTTCTAGCACTGAGAGGACAGGCATCGCTGAAGGAGCCTTACTCCAACCACTATCCCAAACATGGCTCAGCTCCACCAGGCGCTCTCCACCCACTTTGGCTAAAGGCACAGCAAACTCCCTGAGCAGTTTTTGCAGGGCCTCTAGAACATCAACCACACTGCTCCAGCACAAGACAAAACACTGCTTGAAATGACAGAAGTCTGCAGCCATTGGGTCGACCTGTCCACTTCTGATTGTAAAAAGGTACCTGGGGATATCTACAGGCAGGCTCTAAAGAGGAAACAAGTGAGAGACACCCAGCTTAGTTATTAATAACAGTGTTACAATTCATGAAAATGTTGGTTTTTAGCACCTACTATTTTTGAATTAGTGTACCTGAGGACTTCTAGGAACCATGCTCTTGGAAGTTGTGGCGAAAGCTGGTGTCTCAGTGGGTGTGCAGTCTTTGTCTGCTCTTAAATAAGTGGATTCAGCTTTTGTTTTACATACTGGCTGTTCGTGGCACGTGGACTTTGAATCTATCAGGGCAAAATTCACAGAAAGACCCAGATACATTTTAAAAGTGATCAGAAGTCAAATCAAGCATCAGCTATCTCTTCAAGAACAGAGTCATTGAGATATTTAACCTAAAATCATGAAAGAAAAACTAAAACAGCTAGAAGGATGAGACAAAAAACATAATAGCTTTGGCAAAGCTGATGGACTTTTATCCAGATTCTTAAAAGTTTGGTATTCTAAAAAGTAGAACTTTTAGCAAAGATAAATGACATTTTCCATAAAAGACATTTTTTAATATTCCCTAAATAATAAATTCAAGGTTAATGTAAAAAGCAGACAGAAACAGGAAAAACTGCTACAGACTCTGTAGAGCGCTGTCCCATCTTTGAAAAATATCAATCTTCTCTGGGATAAAGAGATGCAGCCTTGTAGTCGATCGACACAGAACACAAATTTGGATGTGGCACTGTCCTCGTTCATCCTCTCCCAGGATTAAGAAAATATATATAATAGTATCTAAACTTAATACTACTAACTTAATATAAAAATTTATATGATTTGGAGTTTGACACTATAGAGTATTGTGGAATTACTGACTTGATCAAAGTTTCCGCAAACATTAAGCAAACACAGAATGTCAAAAGATGTTTGTCTGGAGTATAAAAGATGAGGAGATGGTGTAGGGGTGGTGAAATGCTGCTAACCTGTCCAAAAGTCTTCTTTGGGAACTACCAGGATGTGATGGCCCTTTGATTCAGCTCCTTGAAGATTCACCACAGAGCCAGAGATTATCCTGTCACCTTTTGCCTGAACAGAAGATTTTCGCAACATCAGTGACTGCACATCAGATGTAAACACAACCAACAAAACGCTGCCTGACATTACCTGCTACTGTCCACATTAAAACCCATCTGTCCCATTAGACATGAAAACATTTTCTAGGGGAATAAGTAGAAACAAGCGGTTCAGGATAGCATGCTTTATCAGAAACAACAGGTTTGCTGCATTCATTAAGAATTTAGAAAAGTGCCACTGGCAATAGGACCTTCGCTGTAACTCACTGTCAATCATAGTTATTCAAATCTGTTAACCTTAAACATTTTAATTCATAACACTGGATTACAATAAAAATAAAACAAGATTTATTGGCCTAATTTCAGTATGAATTTGTTGTGACTACATTTAAACATTTCACAACTCATAAAACAGAAAGTTTGTGCTCCTCCAGATTTGTCACCTAATGTCCTTTCTTTTGTTCTTCTCAGACCACTGAGCTCTTTGACAGACCACAGGTAGCAGCCAGGTGCAGTGAGATTCTCCCCTCAAAGGCACACATCTGTTTCAGATGAGGTTGGGAAAAAGGTGGCACCCTTTGTAAAATTGCTAAAATGCAAACGCTCATTGCCTGGCATGGGTATGGAGAGAAGAAGAGCTGGCCTGAGTTGCAGGAGATGGTAGCAGGCAGAGAGCCAGTGGTTAGCAGTTGGGGAAGCTACGGCTGTCTTATTGGCATGCTGGACCAGGTATCCACTTCTGTCTTGAGACAGCTGTAAACCAGTAGCCCATAGCACAGCAATCAGGCGCCTGTTACTTTAGAAGAATGCTGATGTGCTGCAATCTGCTGCTTTCCGCTTTCTGCAGCCAGCAATTCCATCTCTCCTATATCAGAGTGACAGTCTTGGCCTATGTTTCTTGTGTCAGGTAGAGATTCCCAAAAACATATCAGAAAAGTGTGTAAAATAGATCTAAAACTAATGCCGACCTTTGCAAAGATTAATTTGTTTGCTGTGACAAGTGCTGGATGTCATCCCTAAGCCAAGTGACCTTTACGTCGCAGACTGTCTGAACATGAGACTTGAGGCATCTATTAATACAGAACACTACCATCACTCTTCACTCCAGCACACACTGTCTATTGGAAGGATTAGAGAGTAAGTATCGGGGAAAAGAACAATGATATCTAATTCACCACAGGTGCAGCAGAAACTTTTCTCACTGTACAAAGCAAATACCCGGAGGAAATAATTATTATTTCATAATTAAACTCTGACAAAACTATGATTATAGCCGAGATTTCATGCAGTGAATGGTGTTCTTTCCAGCGGTAAGACTGAAATGCCCCATGAAAACATTTCAAATATAATTAGAAAACATTGAGCCTGATGTCTGCAACAAATGAAAAGTCGAAATTCTCTTTTGTGGTTCCGTTTTACAAAGCCACTGCAAATTATCTGTCAGCTACTTTGTGTAGAGTATTCAATCCGACAAACTGTAGCACATAATTTTTGGAGAAAAAAACAACTATCGACATAATAAACAGATTCAAAGGCTCCAGAGAAAAGTTGACTAAAGTGGCAAGTTCACAGGGTTTATTTTAGACCCACCTGTGATAAATAATACATCACAATAAGAATAACTGGATTAAGAGTTGTTTATGTTATAACATTATGTATATGATCAGTAAATGTAATACCATGTTTATACTTCATTTGAAAGACCCTATGGCTTTCTGTAAGGTGTAGTTTCTAAAGAAATCATGCATGATAGCAAACTACAACTACAGGTTATTCTACATTTATGGAATATTACTTACCTCATTTGCTCTCTTCCTGTGAGTATCAGTAAGCAATTTCCCAGATTTCTGATGCCTAATGGATCTTTTGTTTGGCAAACACATGTTCAATGCTAACTTGTCCTGAAACAGAGAAAGGAAAAAAAATCAGAAATTGTAATAGAAGATGCACTCTCATTAGTCTATTCATTAGGTATACCTCATCAGTACCAGGTTGAACCCCCTTTTGAATCATAGCTGCCTTAATTCATCATGGCACAAGTTTCATCAAGGGGCTGCAAACATTTCTCAGAGACTTTGACAGCATCACGCCACTAATACAGATCTGTTGCATCCCAGAGGTGCTCTGTTTAAGATCATGTGACTGTTGAGACCATTTGAGTACAGTGAACTCATTGTCATGTTCAAGAAACCACTTTGAGGTGAACAATCTTTGTGACATGGTGCATAATCCTGCTGGAAGCAGCCATCTGAAGATGGTTACACTGTAACCGTAAAGTGATGGATCAACTCAAAGGAGTCTGGCTATTCTCCTCTGATCCAGAGAACTGTCGCTCACTGTATATTTTCTCTCTTTCAGACAATCCTCTGTATACCTTATAGAGATGGTTGTGCAGGAAAATCCCAGTAAACTAGCAATTTGTGAAATACTCAGAACAGACCGCCTGGCGCCAACAATGCTACGTCCAGAGATCATCTTGCCCATTCTGACGCTCAGTTTGAATTTCAGCAGGTGATTTTGTACATTCCTAAATGCACCAAGTTGCTGCCGTGTGATTGGGCTATTGATATTTGCATTGACATGCTGTTAATGCAAACAGGTGTACCTAATAATTTTTCCAATGAGCGTGTAAATAGTTAGGATTTTTGCTAAACAAAAAAGGTATCAATCCTTGCCCGCTTTTACCTTCCCTATCGTATTGCACGTGTTTAGCTTGTACACACCCTCATTAATTGAAAAAAGGTCATTTATTATCCTTTTTTAAAGTTTCTGAATGCACATAATAATCTACCTGTTCCCCTGCTGGAGCTCCTGGAAGGTTTTCTCTCTGTTTCTTCACATCTGAGATTTTCTCCAGACAAGGAGTCCTGTGTAAAGACTTTCTTTCAGACTCACAATCCCAATTAACCAGAATTCACAACAATTCTAAACATATTTAATCAAATTTGCAAAAAGGTAATGGTTGAGCAAAATATTCCCACTAAAAATACTACTTACCATTTAGAAATAGTCTTTTTTTGTAAATCTTCAATGGGAGGAAGAACCAGCTGCTGCTTATTCACTGTTTTCAAACAATCCTCTGCATGTTTCTACAGACAGTCAAGAACTTATTAACTGTCGGTTCTTACGTGTACTATGTTTCACTTAAGTCTCTTTATTTAATATAAATGCTACTGTGCGTGAAGATTTCTCACCCTGATGTTCAGGGCCTGAGTGTTCAGTGTTGTCCTCCCCTCACTGACAGTCACTTTCTCAAGACTAGGTTTGAGTTGTCTTAAATCGTCTTCCACCTGCAATACAGTCATAAAATGTAAATACTCCAGAAAATGACCTAAAAACAGCATACACGAGTTTGATGATTTAGCGAAAGGCAAGATAAGTCAAGGAAACTTTACCCGAACCGAAACAGCTCCCGACTTGTCTTCCTTTTTAACCACTTCGGACATTTTTTTTCATCATTATTTATGGGTTTGTAACTGAAATATATATAGCACAATGGCGAACTGTACTAGTTACCCCAATGACTTTTCTACAGTCATTGAGTTACCCACTGTTAGCGAAACAATTAGCTTGTCACCAGTGAAAGTTTCTGATTCGGTACACGTAACCTTGACGACGAGACACCGTGCAGCTCATTTCTTCCTGGAGTTTGACAGTCAGGCATATAAGGGTCACGTCTAAGTAAATAATTGTTTATCCCAATGCTCCAATCCCATTGCCACATAACCATGGCCTTTACTTTAATCACCTTCTAAAACATATCAGCTGATGTTAGATTTGTTCACAGTGTCCCTCCACTTCACATAAACGCAGAGTGCAATTTTTTGATTTTGCTTTTTAAATAATTATCATTATCATCATCCTTATTATTATTATTATTATTATTATTATTATTATTATTATTATTATTATTATTACTTAGTTTCAATGATGGATCGAAAAATATTTTTACAATTAAACGTCACAAGACTGTTTAACGTGCACCGGAAGAGGCCGGTCAGAGTTGAAAGGTCTCCCAAGTTTTCCATCGTAACGCTAAGCTAATAGCTGAAGAAGCTTTCTCTCCATATTATAATTAAAATGTCAGCTTCAGAAGAAAACACAGAAATAGCCACCCCATGTGTGCTTGTCACTAGCTGTGACAGCGAGTTTAAAGAAGAAGAACTAATCAAACGTAAGTTAAGGTGAAAATAACATAATAGTAAGGAAGCTAACGTTAAACAGAGCTAACTAAGCGATAGCATCTGGAAGCCCTTTTATGTCTTTTTCTCGGGTTAATAGCGAATTTCTTCAAGGCGTCTAAGCCATTTTATGTCCTTTACTTTCGACAGGCTGATATACAAGCGATATGGTAATGCTAATTAAGGTTAATACTATTCCTGTTGCTTGAGCTTTCACCGTGAGAAGCTTAGCTTGACGTCTTTGTTCGTGTAGATCAACAGATTTGTTTTTGTCTCAGAAATCCTCAGTACGAAGACTTTACCCGAGCCGACAAAGCGAGAGGAAACAGTGGTCTGGTACCCTTGGACCATCAACAACAAGTATTATACGGCAGATGTCAGTCTCTGTGTTGTATCAAGCACTTTTCACATGTCGTCAGAGATTGCCCAGTCCATGCAAGCTTTCATCGCTTATTTTGACAGCAAAGCGGTATGTGACATAAGAAGTTATATTTATAAGTCTAAACAGCACGTTTCTTCATGCCTTTATATCATCCATTATGTTTGCAGAAAGATGGGCTGCAAAAGCTACAACCTTGGATCCCGTTAGTGGAAGATCTTGCGCCAGAGGTGCTCATCCTGGTCTGTGACAGAGTCTGTGAAAATGGTCAGTTTTTTTGCTCTGCATGTGGCTTGCAGAAAACACTGTCTTACATATAAGTCGTGGGGGATACAACTTCTAATTTATGTTGTAGGAGTCACCAGACATGAAGCGCAGCAGTGGTGTTTGGCTCATGCATTTGAGCTCGTAGAACTCAATCCTCAGGAGCTCCCAGATGAGGATGGTGAGTTTCTCAAATGGGAGAAATGAGCAGTGACATCACCCAGATTTATATCTCAATTCTTTGTGTTTTGATAATATTTTCACCCGCATTCACACTATTCTGTTTTCTCTATCAGACGACTTTCCAGAATCCACAGGTGTAAAGAGAATTGTTCAGGCTCTCAATGCAAATGTGTGGTCCAGCGTGGAAATGAAGGATGGTAAGATGACATAACCTTTGATTTAACTACTACATACTCTGTGTATGCATGTATGGCATGTGACAGTTTACATCTCTAACAGGGCACAATCAGGGCTTTGGTCTGATGAGCAGTTTGGTGGCTTCCAGACATAACAACCCACGCACCTGCCAAGATCCACCAGTTAGTGGAGTTTTCCTTTTTTGATAATGATCGATTTATTTAGGTTTTAACAGTATTTTTTCATGCATTTTCTTGCTTGCTTGCTTGCTTGAATCAATACAATTTAAATTTATGTTTTTTTAAAGTCGTTTTTGTGGAGGCATGCTGATCCAAGCTGTTTTATTTTTTTTGGTAGTCTTCCAGCTTACCAGTAGAGGGCACCGTTAACAATGAGGAGCCTAACCATACAGAAAGTACTACAAATACAGACACACAGGAAGAGGCAGTAGTTGGTAAGCGAATGCCTTGTGATAGAATTTTCTTTACTAAGTCGTGAATCAATTTTTCTCAGATTCCTCAAAATACTGCTGCTGGAACTGTTAGTTATGTGTATAAACATACATTTTTTTGATCTCCCTCAGATGCAATGACTGATTTGGACATTCAGGAGCTCGCTAACCTCACAACTGGAGATGTAGATGTTGATAACTTTGAACGGCTTTTTACCAAATTAAAGGAGATGAAAGGTAAATGGGAGAATTTTAAAAAAGATATGCAAATCTTGTTTTTTCTTTCTTTCTTTCTTTCTTTCTTTCTTTCTTTTTTTTATTTAAAGGTATGTTGTCCCTGTGGAGGTTAAATATTTTCTATAGAGTTCACTTTGAATAGCTAAGTGAGCATCTTTGATGTATTTAGCTTTTGTTTTTCATTATATTTTCAAAATAGTTTGATGCATTTCAGATGATTACTTTAACTAATAAAAAGAAAGTGATTATGATAAAAAGTTTAAGCCCCCATGGTCAGTACTTTGTAAGCAACACATCTTACCATTCTTGTTTGTTGGATTTTCACCCTTTCTTTGCAAACATCTTTCAGTTTTGTCAGATCTTTGTTCTGGCCTGCACAGCTTCTTTAAACTCCATCAACTGTTGAAGATGTTTAGCTCAGGAAATTTCAAGAACCACTGACAAATCTTCAGTGTTCGTCACTCAGTAGTTGTTGTTGGATTTTGAGGTGTTTTTCGGATTGTTAAAATGTTGTTAAACAACATCATCTTTTTTTATCTTGAGCTTTTTGTTTGCAGATACTGCAGTGCAGAATTTGTGGTGTATAATTGAATCCATCCTTCCTCTATCTTGTGCCAGTGGCTGTAACACAAGCCATCCACCCATATGCTTAACAGTTAAAGAGATCATTAGGTTTATTTAGATGTTCATTTGAAAACTTCTGATGCTTTTAATTATCTCTTCCACGAAGGTCGTGGTTGTACAAGTAGATTAAAGCACAGTCTGCTCAATTTTCCTGAAGTTCCTTTGTTTTCATCACAGGGTTTTGATTCTAGCAATCCTACGATTAGATCTCTTAAAGTTTTTTTTTTTTTGCTTTGTTTTCCAGACATCACTTTGATGTCCCTCCTTTCTTTTTAAGTACAGTAAATCAGTTCCATTAATTCCAGTTCCAGCTGAGTAAAGGCCTTCTTAAAGCAATATCCTGAATTGTGGGCATAAAATTTTTAATCTTCAAAAGACAAGGCGCTCTTACTTAGTAGAGGACTCAATGGCTGATTATTGTAGGAATAATATTTTAGGAGTCAGAATATGTATGCAAGTCTTGAAATGTGCATTGCCCAAGTTTCCAGAACAATTACTATGAACAAGCCAAAGCACAGACAAGCTAGTTACCTTCAGGATTTCTGAGATTACTAAGATTTTGGAATACTTACATTGCACAAAAACTCTAGTCTTGCATTCAAGGTTTCAGAAACAAACAAACAAAAAACAACAAATCAACTTTTCATCAGGAGTGCTCAAATATTTGGATGCCAGTGCACCTGATGTCATTGTGGCTGACTGATGATTTTGGTCTTCTCTATTTTAAACCTACAGACAAAGCTTCTTCATTACCCCACGAGCAGAGAAAAGTTCACGCAGAAAAGGTAAGTTTTTTTTTTCTTTAGTGTTTTAATTTAACCCTTCATTAGTTCAATACATGATCTGTTTACCCACAATCTGCTTTCTAGGTGGCAAAAGCATTTTGGATGGCCATCGGTGGTGATGAAGATGAGATAGATGGGTTATCATCGGGAGAAGAAAGCTAAAAGTAGCTGGCTGTAACTTGGACTCCTTTCACCTGATCCTCCTGTTTTTCTTGGGGCTTCCACAAGATTCAGCATCCCGTGACATCCTGCTTGCACTTGGAAAGTGGAGATGCTTACAGATGGCACTGTAGGCATTAGTATATTTAAAAACTGTGGATTCTTAACATGAAATGATGTATTGAAAAAACAGATGGGAATTCCTGATTGCAAGAAAAGCAAATGAGTGGCCCTGATCCTCAATCTACTCCCCTGGGTTCTTCACTATACTTTAGCCCTAAGTGAACCTCAGCACGTGATGGTGTTGAAGGTGGGGAAAGACATGAAATGTATGTGGTTTGTGTATTTGTTATTAGGTACATTGATACATATATTTTAAAGGTAAATGATGTGCCTTATCCTAAAAAGACATATAATGCACACTGGAATAAATTAACACAAAACCTTGTGATTTTAATATTTAGTGAGTATGGTTTATTTGTTGTGAACACTCACATGGGTTCACAATCTCTATTCAACTTAAATAAAAGGATATGTGTATTGTGCTTTGCGATTAACTCTGCAGTAAATAAGTAATTTAGATGTAGCGCAGTGGGGAGTTTCTAATATTTTTATCAAGCCTTAATGAGTAGAGAAGCACATTTAAAAATATATTATACTGTACATACATACCATCACAAACTATGCCGTTTAGCAAAAGAGTGTCGCGTCACCTCTACAGGTTTCCTGATGATATCATTTATTACAGGACACTTATCCGCTTTATGTATATCAATTTCAAATTTTTGTCACGGTGTATAATAATGTTTCAACAAGCAACTTTACTCCTTGGTGCAGGGTCATGTATGAGAAGCAGAGTGTACCCCAGACAGGTCGCCACCCTAACACAGAAAGGGTCAATTTAGTGGTACAATGAATGCACCAGCTGCTGTGAGGCAACTGTTCTTTTTACATTTATATTTCATACATAATTCCTTTTACAGAGAAGCAGCCCTCTTTTTACTGTTTTGCAATTTATTAAAATTTCACAGATAATTCTAGACATTTGAGAACAAATATTAGTCTACATTAAAAAATAAAAACATAAGACTTGGATCATAAAACCACTAAAAGAATATCAAGGAACTCAAGTACTGATACAGACCTACCACATACCTAATGTACTGTGTAGTACAGTGTTTCCGTTCAGCACCATGTAACTCCTTTAAATAGATTGCTTGGTGACTCAGTCTTATGTACTGTGAGTGAGTGCAGGATTAACATGGTGACGTCTTAGACAACGACCAA